GTAGCGCTTGCCGTGCACCTTGCTCATGATGTTCTTGTCGTAGTAGTAGCGCAGCGCGCGGCTCAGCTTGTCGTAGTTCATGTTGGGCTTGCTCTTGCGCTCGCCCCAGCGCCGCGCCACCTCGTCGGGGTCGGTGAGCTTGAACTCGCCGTGGCCGCCCTCCCACGCAATGCAGCCGGCGTTGGCGCGGTCGGCCAGCAGCTCCAGCAGAAACTGCCACAGCTGGATCTGCCCGCTGCCTGCGGGGAGCGGGGCGGTCAGGCTCGTGCGGGAGGGGAGGCAGGAATCGGACCTGGCCCTCAAGGAGCGGGCGTCGGGGAGGGAGCGGGCGTCGGGGAGGGAGCACGCGGGTCCAGCTGCGCGCCACCGCCACCGCCACCGGAGCGGCCAGCCAGCCAGAGGCCCATGCGCGGAGCGGTCTCCAGCCCCGCCAGCGCTTTTGCACAGCTGCCAGTTAGAAGGACGCAGCCCCGGGGGCGCACCGCTTTGTGAAAATCAGGCGGCGAAGCAGCGCCTCCTCCACGCAGAGGCGCGCGGCTTTCCGAGGCGAGCAGGGGCTGAATGGCAGCCTGTACTCGCCGCCGCGGCTAGACGCCCTCCTTCAGTACAGACGCTACACAACGAAAGCGCCTGACCGCGCCAGCTCAGCCGGGCCACGGGTGGCAGCACGGCCCAGCCCGGTTGCCCAAAGGCACGCAATTGGATAATCCCGCCTGTGGTGCAGAAGTGGGGCCGGCTAGCTTCCTTGTGTCAGACCGGCATGGGACAGGGACCCCAAATACGCGACAGGAGGAGTGGGATCTCAACCAGCTCCCCACCCCCGGCCGCAGAGCTCTGTGCCGGCACAGCTTGGGTTTGCCCTGTTTCGGAATAGGCGGGATTCCCGGTGCGCTAAGGTGCTATGGTTCGCCGAAGAGCCAGCCCAGACTCGAGCCTCTGTCTCGGCCCGTCCCTGGCAAGTCTGCATATTCCTCTGACCAGTTCTGAGCTCCCGGTTGCTGACGGCGGGTCGTGAAAGGATCGGACCCTAGAACTCCCGCTTCCCTATTTGGCGCCTCAATCAGGCAAATGGAGAGAAATCTTGATACAATTAGCCCTCCTTCCCTCTTAAGAGGAGCTCTGGTGGAGTAGTGCCTAAGGCATTTGACTGCTAACTAGAAGGCTGGCGGTTCAAACCCACCACCCCTACTGATACAGTCTCTGAAACCCAAGGAGGGGTCGCTATGAATCGGATCCAACTCGACGGCAGTGCGTGCGTGTGCGTGCGTGCCCTTCTTCAGAATAAAACGGATTTCCCTGGGCGCTGATTATTGCCTCAAATTGAGACCGGTGGACCCCTTTCTTTTCCAACGACCTGCTCAGAACCGAGACACTACCCTCCCCCATGACCTCCACCCCAATTCCTCTCTGCTTGCCCAGCAAGGATCGGCCTCCAGGTCGTAACTGTGGCGTTTTAGGGTCAGAAGCTGGAAAATTGGGCATAAAAACGTGCACCTGGCACTAACGTGGGAGCGACATCAGAGGCTTGGGAACCTGTTCCTACTGGGCACCGTGTTCCGTCAGGGTAAATGAGCTGCCAGGCTGCTTTATTCGGTTACTGTAACTTGATGGGATCCGGGGTCCTGGCTGGCGCTGCGGCTGTGGGACGCTCTAGCGGCCAAGTCTCCTCAGACTTTCATAGTTGATTCCCAGGTTCGTCATTCCCATATCAACTATAAATGCCTGAGGAGACCTGGCCGGTATAGCCTTGCCCGGCTCAGGCCGTGTGGCAGGAGGCACTGGCCCCTTTGCCCAAAGGCACAGAGTTGGATGATCCTACCTGTGGTAGAGAAGTGGGGCCGGCTAGCTTCCACATGCCAGACAGGCATGAGACAGGGACCCCAAATACGCGACAGGAGGAGTGGGATCTCAACCGGCTCCCCATCCCCCCACCCGGGCAGCAGAGCTCTGAGCTGGCACAGCTCGGGTTTGGTGGTGGGTGGCCCCTCATGGTTAAGGAGCGATTCTCTCGGTCCCTTTGTATGGCAGTGCCGTTGCCTTGTGTGCCCGATGCAAATAGGGAAAGGGCACTAAGCACCCCAACCCATGCCCTAAGACCAGGAAAAACCACACTCAGCAGAGAAAGGCTGGAGCCAAAATCCTCTCTGCCTGCCCCTTGCCTGCAAGTGCAGCTCTGGGACTGCGAAGAAACAGGAGTGGCCACATGAACTTGTTCCCAGGCCCTCCCGCAATGATACCCAGACACTGCACTTCCCAGAGCCCGCCTTGCACAACGCTCCCACCCCCTGTCCTGTGGCTATGGCACCGTCCTTCTGGGGTCGGCGCTCGGCCACCAGCTCACCTTTCTGCACCGCGGGGCTCAGCGGCCCCCAGCCTGGGCTCTTCCCATCCTTGAAGAGGCCATCTCCGACCGGATCTGCAGCGGCGGGATAAAGCAGTCAGATGAACCATGGGCCGGGGCGGCGCAGGTTGAGGGTGTGGCTGAAAGGGCCTCGGGCTTCGGCTCCTGGGAGTGCCTTGGTCCCCGGGAGCAGGGCTAGGGACCCGGGCCGCCCGGCTCCTCCTCCCCAAGCCCGGCCCTGGCGCGCGCGGCGCAGAGCCCCTCCGTAGCGCCCAAGTCAGGAAACGCGTCCAGGAAAAAGGAAATCCGCTTTCCGAACGGGCCGGCGGGAGCCTTATAAAGCTGAGCTGGGGTGCGCCAGCCGAGCTGGAGAGCGGGTAGCCCAACGGGGAGGAGAGGAGGGTGCCTGGAGGGTCGGGCCCATGAGGGCGCTCGGAGCACGGAGGTGAGGAGAGGCGAGGGTGAAAGGGTGACGCTCGGCGGCCCCGGCTCCTGGCATTGCTAGCGCAGAGAGACCACCAACACCCCGACGACCCCTGCTCCCGCAACCAGGCACTTCCGGGCCCAGGGCCTAGGCTTCCAATCTGCTGACTTTGAGTCCTCCAGCCCCCACAGCAAAACCCCAAAGCTCCCCGTCCGCCTTTAAGGTTCATCCCTGAACCTTTGGTCCCCTGGCATACCCTTCCCAGGACCAAGCCCAGACTTCCCGCCCCGGGTCCTGGTGCCTCCAGTCCCAGCTGGTCCCTGGTACCTGGCAGGTACATGTTGATCAGCAGGGGCTGGGAGGCGCCGCTCTGTCTCATCGCCGCCAGGGACTGGGCGGTGGGAGGTGGGGGGTACGGGCGGGGCAGAGCGACAGGCTTCGCGCTCCGGGGCACGGATCCCCGCCCGAGGCGCCCGCGGGTGGTGGGGAGGAGAAGACAGCGTCGGGTCCGGCGGGGCCTGGCGGGAGGGTGCAGATCGGGGTTGGCAAGGGTGGGGGGGTCCCGAAGCGACGCTCCCAGCTCCCAAGCTGCTGGGAACCCTCCGGCCCCCGCGCGGGCAGGGGCTGCAATTTCCGTTTTAATTAAAGCGCCGCCGCCTGGGCCCCCAAGACCCGCCCCCGCCCCCCTTATCTGCCCATCGCAATAAAGTCTCCAGCGCGCAGCGTCGCAGCCAAGCGCACCCGGCAGCCCCCCGCGCCCCGCAGCCAAGAGACCGCGGGGGATGGGCCGCGGCGCGCGCTCTAACACCGGCCGGGAGCGCCAAGCTTTTCCGCCTCCCTGACTGTAGGCAAACAGTGGTGGGGCGGGGGTGCCCGGCTCCACGTCGGACCCCCGCGGCCCCAGACCCCACCGCAGAGCCTACCACCCGCGGATCCCAGCCTCCTCCCTTCACTCTCCCCCCCTCTCCTCCCCCACCCGGGTGCTCGTCTCCAGGCTGCGTTATCTGCATCTTCACTTTTAAATTTCCGCTTCCCTCCCTCTCGCCTGTCGCTGCGCTCCGGGCCGGCAGCCGCTGCTCTCTTTATCTCCGACCCCCCTGGGGCCTTCTCTCCCTCCTTCCTCTCCTACTCTCTGCTCTTCCCTAGAGACCCATCCCCTGTCCAGCCTCTCTTTGGGGCTTTCGCCCTATTTCCTGCCTTCCCACGGCTTGTAAGCCTCAGGCCGGGCGCTGGGGCTTTTCCCAGAAACTTCGCAAGGGTCTCCGCCCTTTGGCTTTCTAGGACTCTCCGCCCTCTGTAGTCTCCTCTCTCCTACTCCCATCTCCCCCCAATCTCGTCTCTCACTCTTCCAACCCCCTTCCCTTTCGGGTTCTGTCAGTCCACAACTGTTACCTTCCCATCCTTCCTCCTCTCTGCCATCCCAGCCTGCCACCCACCGTCCCTTCTCCCTGTCCCGGTTCTCCCAGGACCAGGCTGCAATTGGCACCTTGCTCTCGCGGGGGGAGAGGGATTAAGACAAGGCGGTTTCATTCAATTGTGCAGCTTGTGAACTGTACAAGCCCCAAGCCCAGGGATCACTGGAAGCTGAAATCCACCCAGAGAAAGCGTTCCTTTTCCTAACTCAGGCAAGGATGCTGATTGTGTTATTAGCAATACTGAGGTGATTTCCAAGTGGCCTGGAGTCCCTGGGTACCTGTGGGGCTTCTGGGTCCTGGAGAGGCAGGCGAAGGAGGATGTGGCTGAAGATGGGGCCCTGGGCTGGGCGGCCAGCCCACCCTCTGCAGTCCTGCAGCACCTCGGCTGCCGTCAGAATCGGTAAGCTCAAGGCCTTTCTGTTTCACCGCTTGAGCCCAGGAGGGAAGGAGGCCTGGGACTCTGGGAGGCAGAGTCTGGGCCGAGTGGGAGATCCTAGGACTCTAGGGGACCCTAGAGAGTTAGGGATGGGGCTTTAGAATGTGGGTGTAGAATCTGGTGGGAGAAAAGGCAGAGAGACTGGGATGCCCCTTGGTGACCAAACTCAGGGTTCTGTAGGAGGTCCTTGAGCATGGGGTCCAGATCCCTATGCCTCTCCTTCATGCCTTTGTACCCTTTTGCTGCTTCCTCTGGCTGCAGGCAGCAGAAAACAAAAGCAGGAGGTAAGAACTGTGAAAGTGGGAGTGGGCAGTGGGATTCACCTACTCCATGTTCTCAGCAGAAGACTGAGGCAACAAGGAGAGGCGCTTAGAGTGGAGTCGACCCAGAAATCATAGCTCAAGTGGGAGAAGGGTCACCAGTGCAGGTAGGCTCCAGGCCACAGCCTCAGCAGGGGTGCTCAGGTACTGAAGAGGTGTGGCTCAGGGGGAAAGTGCGCTGGGTCCTGGCTTGCCAGAAGGGGGGCAACCTCCTCCATCCCCTCAGGCTGCGACTGTGGCTCCATAGAAACTGATGTGCTGAGTCCACAGCAGCTCCCCGGCCGTCCCTTTCTGTTTGAGTTCTCTAGTGTTGCTTTAACAGAAATACCAAAAGTGGGTGGCTTTGACAAACAGAGATTTATTTTCTCACAATTTAGGAGGCTAGAAGTCCTAGAGGCTAGAGGCCCAGAGGGTTCTGGCTCTAAGGGAAGACTTTATCTCTGTTGGCTCTGGAGGAAGGTCCTGTCTCTCTGAACTTCTGCTTCTCAGCTGTCTTCATGTGGCTTGACGTCTCTCTTCCCCATCTTTGGTCTCCTCATTTGTTGAATCTCTTTTCATATCTCAAAAGAGATTGGCTCAAGATAAGCCCTACACTAATCCTGTACCATTAACATAACAAAGACAACCTATGCCCAGATGGCATTATAACCACAGGCATAAAAAACAAACCAAACTCACTGCCTGTTGAGCCTCATAGCAACCCCTCCTTAGTTTCCGAGGTGGTGTCTGAGTCTGAGGTGGTATCTCTATGGAAGTAGATTGCCCACTCTTCCTTCCTGGGAGTGGCTCGTGGGTTTGAACTGCCAGCCTTCTGGTTAGCAGTCAGATGCCTTAGGCACTACGCCACCAGAGCTCCTAACCACAGGCATAGAGGTTAGGATTTATAACACATATTTTGGAGGGACATAATTCAACCCACAACACCTTCCAACCCAACTGGGCAGGAGTCCCAAGGGGTTCTGGCGGCCTGGAATAAGAAGGGGCAGGAATGTGAAAATGCTCAGGTTGCCCCTGGCCCCTGACTACAGGAGTGGGGAGCCACTTGAACCAGGGTCTGAAAAATCTGGAAGATCCAAGGGCCTAAGGGATGGGCTGCCGCTAAGCCCTCCTTGTACAGGAAATTGAGACCCAGAGAGGAGGAGGGCCCTGCTCCGGGTCACACACCGGATCCGGAAGCCATCTTGCTGATTCTTCCCTGCAGCTGCAGCACCTGCTGGAGGGCAGCCCAGTCGCGGATGGATACAGAGCTCCTTTGCCTATCTGCCTGTTCCCCAAAGCAAGTAGTGGGGATATAGCCTGAAGCCAGTTTGTCTGGGTTCTGGGCTCAACTCCTAGCTCCCCTATTTCCCTAGTTGTATGATTCTGAGGGAAGTTACCTAACCTCTGTACTTTAGTTTTATCATTTGTAAATGGGGATCATAGTACATATCATATAGGATTATGAGGTTAATAAACAAACAAACAACAAAAAAAAAAACCTCACTGCTGTGGAGTGGGATCTGACTCATGGTGACCCCTCCTTGGGTTTCTGAGGCAGTATCACTACAGAAGTAGATTGCCCAACCTTCCTTCCTAGGAGTGCCTAGTGGGTTTGAACCTCCAGCCTTCTGGTTAGCAGTCAAGTGCCTTAGGCACTATGCTACCAGAGCTCCTATTGAACAACATAGAAAGCATCAAAAAAAAAAAAAAAAAAAAGATGAAAGGAATGCAGAGTCACTATACCAAAATGAACATTCAAAAATTTCAAGAGGTAGCATATGATCAAAAATATGATAGTGTTGAAGGAAGAAGTCTAAGCTACACTGAAGGCACTGTAGAAAAACAAGGCTCTAGGAATTGAGGAAATGCCAATTGAGATGTTTCAACAAATGAATGCAAGGCTGGAAGTGTTTACTCCTCTATGCCAAGAAATTTGGAAGACAGCAGCTACCTGGCCAACTGACTGCAAGAGATCCATATCTGTGCTCATTCCAAAGGAAAGTGATCCAAAAAAATGTGGAAATTATTAAACAGTATCATTAATATCACATGAAAATAGAATTTTGCTGACGATATTTCAAAAACAGCTGCAGCAGTATATCAACAGGAAACTGCCAGAAATTCAAGCCAGATTCAGAAGAGGACATGGAACAAGGGATATCATTGCTGATGTCAGACAGATCTTGGCTGAAAGCAGTGAATCCCAAAAGATGTTTACCTGTGTTTTACTGACTATGTAATGGCATTCAACTCTATGGATCATAACCAATTATAAACAACATTGCAAAGAATCGGAATTCTAGAATACTTAATTGTGCCCATGCAGAACCTGTGCATAGACCAAGAGGGAGTTATTCAAACAGAACAAGGGGACACTGCACATACTTAGTCTGTGTGGTGAGCAGATAATCTGAGGAGCTGGACTATATGAAGAAGGATGGGAGGAAAACTCATTAAGAACCAGGGATATGCAGCTGACACAGCCTTCCTCGCTGAAAATGAAGAGGACAAGAAGTACTCACTGACGAAGATCAAAGATTACAGCTTTCAGTACAGATTACACCTCAACATAAAGAAAACAAGAATCTTCACAACTGGACCAATAAGCAGCATTATGATTAACAGAGAAAATACTGAATTTGTTAAGGATTTCATTTTACTTGGATCCACAGTCAATGCTCATGGAGGCAGCGGTCAAGAAATCAATCGGCATATTACAGCAAATCTGCTGAAAAAGACTGTTTAAAAGTGTCAAAGGGCAAAGATGTCATTGTAATGACTGAGGTGCACCTGCCCCAAGCCATGGTATTTTCAAACACCTCAGATGTATAGGAAAGCTGGAGAATGGATAAGGAAAATTGGAGAAGAATCCATGCCTTTGAATTAGGGTGTTGGCAAACAATGTTGAAGACAGCATGGACGTCCAGACAAAAGAACAAGTTTTTGTTGGAAAAAGCACAGCCAGGATGCTCCTTGGAAGGTGAGGAGGTGAGACTTCATCTCACGTACTTTGGACATGTTATCAGACCCTCAACAATGGGCTCAAACAGAGCAACGCTTGTGAGGAGGCACAGAGCTGGGAAGGGTCACTATGAGTCGGAAACAACTTGATGGCACCTAAGAACAATGCTGTTACTGTTACCATCCCCCAAGAGGATGACAGGTAGGAGCCTGTGACCAGCTGGGAGCTCCAGATTCCTCTGGAGCCCACAAAGTTTCCAGGCTCCTC